CGATGCAGAGAAAATCTGAGGGAGGGAAGGATTCCAGGGGCAGACAGTCGATCATCATCATCCTCGTATTCCTCGCTTTTCTTCATCCATTGTTCGTTGCCATGATGGATGCTATGCGGGCTATGAAATACTCTCCGCAGAAAATAACTCTCCGCAGAAAATAACTCTTCTTCCGCGTGCTGGGTGTGAGGTGAGTGAGGAGGTGTGCCATGATCTTTCTCTTTTTCTGGTCATCTGGCTGCATATGGATTTGAACTCGGGTCTGTATTTCAACAGTTCGATTTCGTGAACTGTTGAAATACAGACCCGAGTTCGAATCCAGATGAAACCAGACGACTTCAGGGTGTACCAACTGAGCTATGCCCGTTGGTGACATGATCATGATTTTCTGTTCCTCTTCAGAAGTCATTCCCCCTTATCGATTTTACAAGAACAGTAGAAACAAAGAGCTCATCTTTACCCAAAACAGCTGGAGTGATATTACCAATAGACTGGAGCATCCAGGAGGCGCCCTACTAGAAGGATATGCTCATATCACTCCCTCCTCTAGCAGAGGGCCCGCTGGGTTCCCCCCCCCCCCCMMCCCCCCCCCMCCCCCCCCCCMMCCCCCCCCCAAAAAAAAGAGAAAAAACTTCAAAAAAGCCAAAGTGATATTAACCAATGGAGATGAGGTTATTTCAACTTTTTGTATTCATTCCGGGAGTAGAGATGATTGGAAAGGCCAATCAAACTCTTTGAGAGAGTTGTTTTTTTTTCCACAAAATCTATCGAGGTAGAACGTTCTGTTCGTCCTCAGAAAGGGCAATTCTTATACTTGGACGCCTGCGATCTCTTCGGGATCTATCTGGCATCAGTTGCGCCCCGATCCTGTCGACCAAATTGTGTTCCTGGACCAAAATGAAATCCCCTTGCACAGTGTCTTCTTCACCAAATAGGAACATGTTTGGATGCTCCTCTCCGTCGTTTGTTTTCAAGTTCCAACTCTTAATGATGATAACCGGTGGTTTCATTTTATGAATGAATGTAAGGACTACACATTAGATCGGGAGTTCCGTGTCGTCATTCGCTTAAATGGTAAGTAAGGGAAAAAACAGTAGGTAGCTTTGAGTTGGTCGAGTGCTAGTCTAACTAGGAGAGAGTGAGGGGCTCAAGCCTGCCTGTGGTTGATTCACTTCTCGCTTATATCTTCACATCACCTTCCTTGAAGTTGTCTGTCCCCCAGGCTTTGGGTACAACGGTTCTTTGCCTTGTGCTGATTGCTCTTGGATGTATTACATTCATCCGATGATCTCTGTAAGGACAGTCATCATCACAACAAATTCTAGTTTGCGATGGCTCGCACGGGTTACTGCTTTGGGGGTTGTGGGGTACTTCCCCCCCCCCCCCCCCTTTCCCCTCTCGGATCTTCTCAAGTTTTCAATCAACAAGTCGTTTGACATAAGGGGTTCATGAGATACTGCCAATCTTGGTGAAGAGAAGTAAGGATCCTTGATATTTTTCACCGTCCGCCAGGTCGTGGTCGCGGGTCCTTGCTACACTTCCTTGAATGTTGCAAAAATTCAAGGCCAAGAATTTTGTCGGCTCGTTTTGACCAACCGTTCCTTTTGCATGTATTGTGTAGCGAGTTCATCTCAGTGGCCGTGTGACGGCCTGCTCCGGTTTCCATGCATCTTCTAATGGCTTTTTGTGATCGTGAGCAAGTGGTTGTGACGAGATCTCTTCCGGGACTGCTGCTTTCCGTCGCACGAAAAAGCGCAATGGTGTGGAGCAGGCACCATCGAATCGCAGAATGGAACTGTGCCAGACTTTAGGTATTGCCACATTTTAGGTGTATTAAATTATTATGTATGTACTATGTAGTCAATTGTCGATGCCCTCTCCCGGCACCCCGATCACAAACCCCCTGACAAAGTTTACGCCACAATGACACATATCCAACTCCTCCCGTCTCTTCATCAGCGCTACACCCAAGGCTATCTCTCTTGCCCAGACAAGCTTCGTGATGTCAATCCTGTCCCCGACTACTCCATCTCCTTTACATCGATACCAAAGGTACTCGCCGACTTTGCATCCCTGACGCACGTGGTCTCCATACCCAGCTCTTGGCGGAACACCACGATGCCAAGACTGCCGGTCATCTTGGGTTCCAGAAAACATTCGACACCATCTCCCGCTACTTTCACTGGCCTTCCCTGTTTGCCGACGTCAAAGCATACATCCGCTCATGCTCCACGTGTCAAGCCGTCAACCCCTCAAACCGCGCCCGACAAGCTACAATCATTGTCGATCCCCACCCACCGGTGGCAGTCCATCTCCATGGACTTCGTCTGCGGTTTCCCCAAGACCGACTGCGGACATGATTGCATCTATGTCATTGTTTGCCGCTTGACTAAACGCGCCCACTTCATCCCTTGCACCACATCGCACAACGCCAAGGACATTGCCATTCTCTTCTTCGACCATGTCGCTTGCCATCACGGTCTCCCCGAGGACATCATCAGCGACCGTGACCCTCGCTTCCTATCACAATTCTGGAAACACCTCTTTAAAGCCTACGGAACCACGCTCAAGTATAGCACTGCATTCCACCCACAGACCGATGGACAAACCGAGAAGATGAACGATACTCTCCATCCACATCAACATGACTGGGATCAGTTGCTCACCGCCGCCGAGATCGCCTACAACAATGCTGTCCGTCCTTCCACTGGTATAACTCCATTCTACCTTGACCTTGGCTATCACCCGCGCCTGCCCTCCGATTTCCTGCTCCCCTCGCAACTCAACCCCTCCACTCCCTGCCCTTCTCTCAATGAATGGGTAGCAACAATGAATCGACTCCTCAGAGAAGCAACCGAAGCCCTTGAAAGAACACAAGAACAAGAAGCAAACAAGACTAACAAACACCGACGTGACTTGCAATTCAAAGTAGGGGACAAAGTCTGGCTCTCCTCCAAACGCTTTGAACCCGAACAGGGCTTGTCCAAGAAACTCTCGAACAAGTGGCTCGGATCCTTCCCCGTCATTGAAAAAACCTCCCCTGTCAACTACAAACTCCAACTCCCCCCTGACATGAGTCGTGTCCACCCGGTCTTCCACGTTGAATACCTAAAAGAATACCATGAATCCCCACCCCAATTCGCTGATCGCCCATATCCAAGACCTCCACCAATCACATTACCCACAGGCCCTGAATCCGTCGTCGAAGCCGTCATCTGACCACCCTTAGAATACAAAGTTAAATGGACAGGATACCTTGACGAAGAATCTACATGGGAACCTCTTGCTAACCTTAAGAATGCTATGAAGCTTGTTCGCGACTATGATCGTGCTCACCCTATACCCTAGATACATAATATAACCCTTGCATAAATCCCGCCTCGTCCCCGCCCAAATCATGCACTCCTGCTCTACACATACCCCTGTACCCAGCAAAACCCTTGCCTCTTGACCCCCCCCCCCTGCCTGATCCGCTTTTGCCTCTGCCTTGCCCCGTTCTCCCATCCGTCCTCCGCCACATCCTTCTCTCTTGTCCAAGTTCCCTACGTGGCCCCTGCGCGTCGCCGGCGATAATGGATCTAATGGCAAGCGCACGAGGACGATGGCATGCTGCAGCTCAGTTCGAGGAGACAAATCAGCTGGTTGGCCACCATGCTGTTCCCATTGGCCGGCACATTGGACTCGCTGACTTCTGGAGCAGTAACTTCGACAGACATCAATATTAGTCTACGACCTGCCATCCGGATTAGACCTCAGCACTAGATCAAGATTACTGGACGCCTCATGCTACTGGGACATTCAAGCTGAAGCCCCGTTGACGACGTCCTCAGACGACTGAAGACTGTTCCCTCATCGATACTTCTACGACTCTTCTGAAGACCTGTTCCCAAGACTTTCGCATAACCACTACCCAGAAATTTTTCAACCATACCCCTGAAAAACCTTTGTTCATCAATAGGACCACCCTGTTCCCCGCAATTCCAAAACCCTTAGTTCATCAGTAGGATTACCCTGTTCCCCGTTATCCCTAAACATTTAGCTCATTAGTAGGACCACCCTGTTCCCCTCAGTTCCTAAACCCTTCGCTCATCAGTAGGATTGCCCTGTTCCCCGTTGTCCCTAAGCCCTTAGTCCATGAGTAGAACTACCATGTTCCCTTAGCTCATCAATAGAACAACCCTGTTTCCAGCTCACAATGACAAGCCCTGCTCCCTAATCACACAACCAGACACCTGCATTATACCCCTCTTCCCTTGTGACTGGCTGACCAGTGATCGGCCCGTCCCGTCCTTCGCAGTTTTCAGCATTGTTTCACGACTTTTGGCAGCCGGGACGTTGCCTTCTAGAGGGAGGGGATAGTGTTATGGACTCAGCCAGGGCTCAATCCCTGGTCCGCAGGTTACCACCCTCCAGGCTGCTGTTTTATTCTGAGTTCCTGATCTCCGCTTCTTGACTGTTGGCGCCCTCTGCAGTTGGCGCCCGTTCTCGAATCCCTCCACTGGCACTTTTGGATTTCAATACTTGGTGCCGTCCGGCATTCTGGCGCCCAGATGCAGACCTGCGATCCTCAGTTCAGTCCACCCTCGTGTTCTTGCAAGTCAGTCTGACCCGCGGTTGGTATTCCCGGAGTGATATGGCTAGCGCAGAGAGTAATGAGCACAATAGGGCAGGGGTTATGTGCTAGGACTTATGGGCAACTGTCTCCCACGATGTACTCGCGCTAGTTGAGCTCCTGTTGATGACCATGAGCGGGAAACGAGTTTCCTTGTGAAGGTTGGATTCTCATGAATAATGCTAAATGTGTGATTGATTGATTGATAAAGTTTCTAATTGTGCTCCAACCCATAGCATAGTCATATCAGGCATTGCTCACAAGAAGGTTGCATAAGAGAATGCGTGTGAGAACTGACTTGCGGATCAGGGAAGAAATCAGAGGCTTAGTCAATTCTTACTCCCTCTTCTGGTTTCCCCATTTGTCGTATGTTGCTGATGGTAGACAGGTGCTGCTGGTGGATGGCCGACACATGGCTCTTTGCTGAGGAAATTGATTCATGGTATGGCCATTCCTGCGGTAGATGAGCGACCACCGCACGTAACACAGGAAGGCAGTCAATTCACACCACGTACTGGTACGACATGAACCATGTTTCTCTTTTTGGATGATCTACTAAGTTCTACTTTTTTCGTTTATTATCGGGGAGTAGGAGAGTTGTGACGCGGCGGGGAGCCTGGGGGGGGGGGGGGAACGCACAAAAGGAATGTACTTAGTCTCTTGTTGGGGGGTCATGCATGCCAAGGTATGTGGAGCTAAGAAGCAGGTACTTGTCCTTTGGTTAAATAATCTTGCTTGGTGATTAGCAACCCAGACATCTGTTCCGTCCACCCTCTTCTCTCCGACCGTCTCGTTTCATTCTCCGTAAGGTCTCATTCCTGGCGAGTGTGGGAAAAAGGGTCTTTTCTCGAGTTTCTATTACTTTCTAATGATTTTCTTGGATGTTTGGTACTCACCTGTAATGATGCATTTGCTGTGGCGTGAAGTTCTGTTTTCATTTTCCTGAAGGTCGACTCTCTCTCTCTCTCTCTCTCTCTCTCTCTCTCTCTCTCTCTCTCTCTCTCTCTCTCTCTCTCTCTCTCTGTGCCTGCTCAACGCGTTTCGTTCTCAGTAAGGTCTCATGCCCGCCGAGTATGAGAAAAAGGTCTTTCATTTTGTCAAGTTCTTAATGATGTGTTATTGGATGTTGGATTCTCCCACTGTTATGCATTTGTTGTGCCATGAACTTTTGTTTTCGTTTTTGTAATTGCCGAATCCCTTTTTCTGAATGCGGAATGGTGAAGACGTGTTCAGGTGTAGAATAGAAATATAGAAAGTTAGAAACCCAAAAAAACAAAAGGAAGGAACTCAGAACCTTCACATCGTTTGCAGGGGCAAATCTATATAACATCCCTGGAGTTCGACTTTGTGTCGTGCAGAGTTACACAGAAGCCCTATATGCAGGAGGACTTTTGTGATGTATCGGTGGGCGGCAATTATGACAGAATTCAGTTGCTGAAGTTGTGGTTTGCAAATGGCATAAGAAGAGCACAGCCAAACCAAACATCTGGAGTGACCGTCAAGAAAAGAACGACAACTTCTGGCTCATCAATTACCCCAAAGTGCTGGAGGAAAGACAGGGAACAGCATCAAACATATGAGAATTGGGGGGCGCCATTATACACACAGGAGCACTTTAAGTGTCTCTGACTGCAATTTACGACCGGACCTGGATGCATCTGACTCTAATCAAGGCCAGAGATTGGTCGAAAAGGTCCTAGTGTGAGTATGCCCTGAGAGGGGATCGCTCCACTGCATGAATAAACAAGCAGCAATACTGCAGCTTATAGTTGTATGTTTTTCGCATCGATCAGTACAATGATGTCGTGGAGTGGAATTCTACGGTAGTGCAGTCAGGCAAAAAGGGCGTAATCTCCAATAGCTGATTGCATAGTATGCATACCCATGGCCATACCCTTTATCCATTGAAAAGGGGGGAGAGGAGGGGGAGGCGTGGAGGGGGCCGGGGGGGAAGCAAATGAAGAAACCACATATAGAGCCAGCCCGGATCTCGATCGAGCCATAAGATGCAAACGCAAATCCACCCGGAGGCCAAGAATTCACTGACTAACTCATCAACCATGGTAGGCATCATTCCACTCGGAGGCGCTTCCCCTGCAATATTTAGTATTGGCTGTATTATTACAAGTTTATGCTCTTAGCATCTGTTTTTCACTTTTCTTAGGTTTTGTTTGTTTTATAAACAGGTCCTTAAGGTCCTGGATCCATATCCATTCTGGGGAGCGTCAGTCCGGTTCCTATTCCCCCGGCAAGTCAAAATTGAATACATAATAGTACCCACACACGCTTCTTTCTGTCTGGCCGAAGGAACCCTGACCAGCATTGATTGCTCCTGCTAAGGAGGATTGACTGTCAGCTTGCCCAGACCACTTCCTCTCAGGCTTCGATTCAGAGCCTGTCAGATAATTCTTTGCACAGCAAGAACAGCGAAAGGGTCCGCTACACGCTATGTTGCTTGTCATTGTCCTTCTCTGTGCACCCTTTGAGTACTGTAGTTGATCGCAGTTCCGACCCTTCTGCCAGGTAGCCTGGTGGAGCCCAGAGTCATTGTGGTATAGCCTGGTGCCATTTCTTCCATCTCAATCTGTTATCTACTATCGTAGCCACCTTGCCCTTTAGCAGCCAGTCTCTTTTGAATCTTTCAGGTCTATGTTGCATAGAGGTCGCTATTCTCCGCCATCTGTTCTTGATTTCAGTCTCTATGTTGCATAGAGGTCGCTATTCTCCGCCATCTGCTCTTGATTTCAGTCTCTGCCATGCTCAGTAGTAGAGACCATATTTCTTCCTTTGCCACCTCTGCTTTCTCGATTGTCCGGGTGCATCTGCGCTTCCATATTACCCACAGTGCCAATTTCCTGAGCAGGAGGAACCAGACTTCCCTGCTGTCCTAATGTTGCTGGGCAGTAAGATAGAGAGGGGAGGGATGTTGGGGGGCGGTGTTGAGAACAGGGTCGCCCACAGCTCCCGGACCTTCTTCCAGATCCATGTTGCTTCTGGACAGGATAGAAGGTAGTGAGGGATGTCCTCAGGTGAGTTCTTCTTGCACAATGAGCAGCATTCCGACGGGAAGGACTGTTTGTGCTATTAGCCATTGCATGCTGCGGATAAGGTTTGGGAGATAAGAAGGTATTTAGTCCATGGGATGGTGATAGTGGTTGCAGGGTCTAGGTGGAGGATGGTTCTCCACTTTTCCGCCAGCCTTGGGTTCGGGTCAGTAGTTTTTAGTCCGAGGTTATAACCGAGCTTTACGTCGTATTCTGTTATCCCCCTTGGTTTCCCGGTGGTGCCCTGGTCCCATATCCACTCCTTTGGGTCGAATTCTAGGTCCTCGATGTTGAGTTCCGGTTGGAAGATGAGCCAGGGTTTCCTATCAGAGACTCTGACCTTCCTTAGCAAGAAGGATTTAATTTGTTCATGCTATGGTGCTGTGTTCAGGGCTTCTAGTTCGTATAGGCTGTGTCTGGCGATGAGGTAGGAAATGAAGTTGGCCTGGTAGTTAGTTGGGTGCGGTTTGGATATGAACTGATTGGCTCTTGTTGGTGTGGACTGTGTGGTGAGTAATCCCCAGTCGTCTGGTTTCCACGTGTGTCTCTTTTAGGAGGGTCGTCCATGAGGGGGGGATGCTGTGATGAATCTCCGATAGGTTGTTGGACAGCAGGTGACAACCCTTCAGGGTGGTGCACAGATCCTGTTTGTTAAGCCATTCTTGCCGGTCCTCGGACCACAGATGTTTGATCTCCCATACACCTCGTTCTACCCATGAGAGCCATCTGCGGTCTTTAGGTCGGAGAGTCCAGGGCTCGCCCTCTGTGTCTTTAATCCAAGGATTGCAGAACAGGGGCTGTCTTAGGACTTCCTCTTTATTGCACTAAGAACCTGCGCAGATCCTGTTCGTTAAGCCATTCTTGCCGGTCCTCGGACCACAGATGTTTGATCTGCCATACACCTCATTCTACGCATGAGAGCCATCTGCGGTCTTTAGGTCGGAGAGTCCAGGGCTTGCCCTCTGTGTCTTTAATCCAAGGATTGCAGAACAGGGGCTGTCTTAGGACTTCCTCTTTATTGCACGGAGAAGGGGCTGTCTTAGGATTTCCTCTTTATTGCACTGAGAACCTTTCTTGTCTGGCATCAGTCGGCGCCAAGCCTTCAGGATCGGTGACCAGTAGGGGTTGGTTGTGGTGGAGGGATGAGTGAGTGTTGCAGGGTGAGTTCTCCTTGTTGACCTCCCTGATTTGATTGTCCATTCCCTTGCCATGATCCAGAAGAGGCCCCTCATGTTCGGTGGGGAAGCTACTGGTGCCAAATTCCGTATGCTGTATAACGCCATCTTGGTCCATGGGAGGGCATGCTTTGTTAGGATTTTGATTACTTATTTCATCTTGAGGGCGGTCGCTTCCTGTTTCGGATCGATGATGCCTAGTCCTCCTTCGTGTGGATTCTTGATGACGATTTGCCAGGCTACTTTGTTTAGGCATGTGGTTCTGCTGGGGTCTCCAGTCCACAGGCAGCATCTGGCTTTTGCTTTCAGCTTTTTCAGGTCGTCATCAGGAGGGGACCATATGGAGGCCATGTACCACCACAGTGTTGAGAAAACGGCCGCTTTGATGATCAGCGCTCTCCCTAGCAAGGAGGCCTGGGCTTTCCTGCAGGGGGCTAGACGAGTTATCGCTCTGGCAATCAGAGTCTCCCCCATCCCTTGCCAAATGCCATCTTTGTTTACCATAATGCCCAGGTACCGAAGTGCTTGGTCTCCTGTGGACCATGACATTGGGGTGAATAGGTCTGGGGTTTGGGGGGGGCGTGCAATTTTCTTAGTTTTCTAATTGTCTATTGTCACTATTGATCTAAAATTATAAATGACGCCTTAGATCTTCAGTAGCCACTTCCTCCGACATGGTGAGCTCTAGGGGGATGCACATTCTTAAGATTTCTGCAGCTTCTGGCCAGTGACCTAACCATCGGCCTGGTCCAAATCCATCGGTGTGGTGCAAATGCATTGAGGAAGCCGGAGTCGGAGGGCAGGGGCGTCAAGAGGAGCATCGAGCGGAGCACCGGAGGGTGACTAGCGCATTCGGGATACAGCCGGGGAGCTCGCAGTGGCGACGGAACGCTCACGTAAGGAGTCAAACCGGAAAAGAAGCACGCGCGCGAGAAGAGGTTGCGCAGTTTGGGCAGCGAACACGCGCAACCATGGAGGTGAGGGTCAGTGGAGCTTGATCCGTGAAGGAGCGCTGGCGGCCGTGGAGGAAGCGAGCACAAGGGAGAGTCGGGGGAGCTTGATCCTCGAAGGCGCACACGCGGCCGTGAACAAAGCGCGCACGATAGAGGGCCGGCTGAATTCGATCAGGGAAGGAGCGTTGGCGGCCGTGAAGGGAGCGAGCACGAGAGAGGGTCGGCGGAGCTTGATCCGAGAAGGAGCACGCGCGGCCGTGAACGAAGCGTGCACGATAGAGGGTCGGCTGAAGTTGATTAGTGAAGGAGCGCTGGCGGCCGTGAAGGGAGCGAGCACGAGAGAGGGTCGCAGAGCTTGATCCCAGAAGGAGCACAATAGGCCGTGAACAAAGCGTGCATGATAAGAGAGTTGGCTGAATCCGATCAGGGAAGGGGCGCGCGTGGCCGTGAGTGAAGCACGCGCGAGAGGAAGTCGGCTGAGTGTCAACTATGAACGGACGTGCGTGTTAAAGACAGACTCGGCCGGGTTCAAAGAAGGAACGAGAGCGCACGAGACAGCCGGACGTGAACGAAGCACGCGCGAGAGAGGGTTGGCCGAGTTCGAACAGCAAACGCGCGCACCCCTCGAAGCGAGAGTCGGAGCTGTCGACGAAACGTTCACATTCGAGAGCGAGTCGGAGCTGCCGACGGAACGTTCACATTCGAGAGCGAGTCGGCCGAGTTGGATCCATGGACGGACACGCACGATTTGCGAGAGAAGTCGTCCGGGGCCTAACAGCGAACGAGACCACGCGTTGGAGAGTGGTCCAGCTGAGTTTGCTTAAGTAGCGAGAGAGAGAGGGAGCGAGAGGGAGAGAGAGAGAGAAAGAGTGAGGGGAAAAGAGAGAGAGAAGGGGGGAAGAGTGCATGCTAGGGAGAAAGTGAGAGAGAGGAAGAACGAGAGAGAGAAGAGAAAGAAAGAGAGAGAACGGGGGGAGAGAAGGGGGAAGGGGGAATCGGTGCGGTTACCTACTAACGGGAGGCCAACTTAAGTGTCTGTCGGAGGCCAACTTAAGACTCTGCAGTAAAGACAGACATGCCAAGAAGCTTCGAAGCAGACGAGCGAGCCCCCGCCGGCCGCTAGGTTCTGTCGGCCTTCTGAACCGGGCGTCCCGAGGGGCTGATTACGGTAACAAAGCGAGGAGCTGACCGAGGTGGTGGGCTGTTCCATACCAAACTGGGGTCCCCAATCTTGTTTTTCCTCTACGTCGGACTGAACCTTTTTTTTATTATTCCAAAACCGAGTCGCGACCCAGCTCCCTTGATTCCGAATTGAACTGAGCCAGCCCTGGGGGCTGAACTGAGTTCTCGCATGTGTTGTTTCTCGCAAGCACCTAATCGTCCTTTTTGCAAACCCAGACGGCCCGAGCCGTCAGACTCTAAAGCTGGGTCCCCCTTTTTTCCCTCCCCGGCATACTCTATTCAGTCCTCTGTGGTCTGGCGCTGGCCCTCAGTCGTGCGGGCTGAGCGACACGTCTTCTGGGCCTTCCCTCTGCCCGTGGGTCCGGGGCCTCGTACATTCGGGTCGTGGCTCTAGCACTTAAGTCTTTGCGGCACTGAGCAAAGAACCAGTCAAGGGTGGGCGGCTGCGTCGGGTCGTGGAAGGTGGCCCACCGGACCCACAACGGGATGAGTCCCAAATCCATGATAGACACAGAGACAACATAGACTAGAGAGTGTGGGAGGGGGGTGGGGGTGGGTGGTGGGCAAGTGGATGCATCTCATCTTGGATAGGGAGAGGGAGAGACAGAGAGGAAGGACATGGGAAGGGGAGGAGGAGGGAGGGGGACTCCCACGGGAGCACAGGTAGGCGTGTGGTGATCGATAGGGAGGGACAAGCATCGAGGTCATATTACCGCCATAGATCCTGCCGGCGCTGTCCTCACAGTTCCAAGGCGTGGGTGATGCGCTAATCAGCTGGTGCTGAAAGTTGTCAGTGGGGACACTGATAGAGGCGTTTGAAAAATGACTGCGAAGCTGAAGCGTACCTGGAGTGTCGGGAGAAGGCGCGAAATCGCGAAAGGAGCAGAAAGTCGGGGTGCTTTACGGCTACTGGCTACAGTCTCAGTGCAACCGAAGTTAGGCACTTCAACTGTAGTCGGTAGGATCGTAGCGCTACAGTGAGAGGGTGAATGTCATCTGACACCGCGTTTAAACTTTAAATTGAATGCTCCCCACTGCTTCAGTGAGTGGGTCCATGCCAGCAGTTTGGTAGGTACCATGCCAGCACCTGGTGGGGCGCCAAGCAACACGGCCGGCAATCCTAGGATGGCCCATCCTCACAGTTGTTGCCATCTAGAACTATTCGAGGTGGGTGGTTTCCTCAACTGTGTCGGTGGGGATCCCATAAAGGGTGGGTCTATCCGGGGTACAGGCCTAGGGGGTCCGGCTCGAAGGGTTGCAAGGACCGGTAATAGCTATGGCAAAGGCAGCCTCTCAAGGGTCTAGCACCAGAGTGCACAGGGTCACCCAAAACAACCATTTGGTAGGGAGTGGGACACCATGAAGTGGCTCCCCTCCCTAAGCTGCACACATGCACCGCATATGTGTGGGTGTGGGTGTGGGTGTGTGTGTGTGTGTGTGTGTACCGATCCTGTTTTTCCCAACACAAAAAAATTGTTGGCGATGTGTTTTCTCTTCAGCAAGGCTGGGGCCGTTTACTGATCCTGTTTTTCCCAACACGGACTTTCACTGCGCACAGAGTTTTGCCGAGCCCGGGTTCCACTGCAATTTCTTTTCTGGTACTCCAAAAAAACAAAAAAAAAGAAAACGGATTTCATCACGGTAGTAACTTTCAACGAAAGGACGAAGAGGGGAAAAAGAATAAGAATCTACGCTATGAACGAAAAAACAGTCAGGTACAGAATTCGTAGTACATGTTAGAGTACGCCCTCAGTCAGGGCGTTATAGCGATGCGTTGATCACAGCAGTCAAACTCCACAATGAAAAAAAAAAAAAAAAAACGCTATTGCCGTGAAAACTGTTCGATACAGAATGTGGATTCTGTGTGAGAGTGTGCCCTCAGTCAGGGCTTTACAGAGACAACGATATCACGGCAGGTGCTTGCAAAAACTAAAAACAAAACAACCCAAAAAAAAACTGCTATGGACGTGATTGCTGCTGGATACAGAATCTAGAGTGTGTGTGAGAGTGTGGCCGTGTGTGAGAGTGTGGCCCCCGGGACAAAGTGTCAGTAATTCGTGGAATGCGCCCTGCCTCACTGGGAGGGCACTGAAAAGAACAGAAAAGAAAAAGAAAAAAAAACATCACAAAAAACATAATCTGCAACTATCCACGATTTTGGCAAAATACATTCCTGGAGGATCACCTGATGGTGAGCACACCTTGTTTTCAGCTGATGCTGACGTACATAGTCGCTTCCTGTTTTTTTGGGGGGGGGTGGCAAACGGGTCTCAAGGCCCAAACATTTCTTTTCTCCCGAGCCTTGTCGGGACCCCCTAAAAATGCGGTGTGAGACCGTGTGATGTATATTCCCATTTTTCCCAAGGATCAGAAAGGTAGTGGTGGTTTAAGGACCTTTTTTTTTTTTTTTTTCGACCAACTGACCCATGTCAAAGCGCTGTGCACATGGAACCCTTCTCCACTTGGGTCTTCATAATTCGCATTTGACTATGCCAATGTCAAATGGACGGCGGTCATGGGGTTTCCAACACAAGTGGCTGGCAATCTCATCCTTTCCGCCTCTTGCGTGGCCTGATTAGTAAGTGAGAAGTTAGTAGTACTAGCTTGGAGTGACCGATGGGTCAGTACGGGCATATAGTCGCACTATGACTCATTGGACGGGGCCCTACTTGTACTTGTGGTCAGATACATCCAGGTCTGGCTGTAATTGTGGCTATGTACATGGGGAAAGCCCTGGTGTGGTGAGTATGCCCTAAATGAGTGTAGGTTAACTCGGCGAACAAGTATAGGTTAACGTGGTGAAATAGCCTTGCAAAGTAGTGCCTTTATCTTCTGTCCCATATCTTGCCTGATTCGTGCTTGGGTTTTTGTTGATGTCAGCAAACTGTTGATCCTGACTGTACTTACAGCTGTCCTTGTCAGTTCACTGCCTTGGTGGTGTGCTTGCTGACAAAGTGCTTGGGGTTTTTGTCGTCTGCCTGCAACTGACTTCCAGAGGGAACACTCTCATGCAGTCAAGATGGCAGGAAAGCGAGGTCGCCCACCAAGGTGCAGTGTTTTGATTTGGCCTGTTGGATTGTGTGGGTGGGTAGGCGGGAGTGTGGGTGGGGGTGATTTTGTGGGCGTGTGTGGGGGTGTGTAGGTATGTGTAGGTGTGTGTATGCGTCTGTGGGTGCGATTTGGCCTGTAGGATTGTGTGGATGGGTAGGTGTGTGGGTGGGTGGGTGTGATTTTATTTATTTATTTTAATTTATTTATTTATTTATTTTATTTATTTATTTTTATTTTATTTATTTTGTGTGTGTGTGGGTGGGTGTAGACAGGTGGGTGGGTGTTTTCTCTTCTGTCATCATTCTGGATTGGTGCTTTGGTGTATGTGCGTGTGTGTAGGTGTGTGTAGGTGTGTGTAGGTGTGTAGGTGTGTAGGTGTGTGGGTGGGTGTGTGGGGTGGGTGGGTGTTTGCTCTTCTGTGATCATTCTGGATTCTTCCATTTAGCCTACTCTGTGTGTTGGTTGTCAGAGTGAATTTGATTAAATTCTTATCTTATCCAATTTCTACTCCGCCATTACTTTTGCTTTTGATATCTGCCAAGTTTTATGTATCTTTGATTCTTCGACATAAATTCTCTCACGTGTACTCGCATGGTTCCTTTGCAAGCGGTACACCTCGAGAACTCCCTTGCCATGCAAGTCTGATTCAGCCATTTTGACAACTGCATGAATTGCTAAGTGATCAGCAGGATGAACCTGTACGTGTACCTGTCGTGGTTGTTCCCCTACGGTACACTTCTACAACTGTGTAGAACCCTCTGCTGATGCGTAGGTAGTGTACAAGTTCAGACTTCAATTCTAGTTTCTCCTTGGCCCCCCCCTTTCGTCCTCTCTTCTCGGTTCTCCCTCTCCAGCGAAAGGAAGTACTTCTGTAGTAGGTGTGTGCGTCTGTGTGTGTGTGTTATCGCTCCAGCTCGGTCATTGTGCTTCCTCTCGTGTATGTCCCACCTTACTTTTCACAGTGTTAAGTTGTTAACCTTTGGTGGCCGTACAACGGTCCGTACTGCATATGCGCATATGTTGTTCACACGATGTAAAGATATCGAGTATGCTCCGGCAAAGATTAATATTAAAGTATTGCTGGCTTGTTAATCTTAACTTTGGATGTGGCGGACGCGGAGCAGAACTGGGAAATGAAATCCAAGGTTGACGAATCCCTTTCTCAGCAGCAATGGTGTTGGATCGCATTCTGGATGCCGATGAATGAAGTGGGCATCGGGGAAGTACAGCCCTGGAGAATGGGAATGAGAATGGGGGAAAGCAGGTGGAAAGAGTCGCATGTGCTTGGATTGTCCCATTCCTAGCCATTGCCCTTTGTAATAATTTGACAGCCAGGAATGAAGAATGGAGGACGTGGGACCGAGGGACGTAAATTACAGTGAGGAATGAAGAATTTAGGGAAGTGGGACATCCTCACCCCATGTGTTTTGTTTTTAGGTGTCGAAACGACTTCTGACGTGGTAAAAGAAGAAGCTAAGGGCCTGGAATTGACATGATCTTTGTGCTCCTGCTCTCATCCATTTCACAGCTCAGAGAAGGCTTCAGACACAAGAAAAGCACGGAGGATTACTTGCGGGGTGTGTTGGGCTACTCTCAGCAAAACCACGTATTACCGATACTGTGGAAGTGGAATTCACCCGAGTCAGATCCTGCTTGAGAAGTTGGCCGTCAAACGCTGGAATGGGGTTGCGGATGATGCCACGCAGCGAGTAGCTCCTTCCGATGCGGCAGAGGAGGGGAACGAACCTGCTGCTACGACGAAGAAGGACGGTGGACCAGGAAACGAGTTGGTAGTTTTTGGGTTAGAGTCGGAGAACAAAATGGAGGGAAACGTTGTTGTTAATAATAGTAGCGGGCCAGGGAAGAATGGGGACGGGGCATGTCTAGAAGGGGGTGGGCCAGGCAAATCCCAGCCGAAGAGTGATGCACGAAAAGCGAGACGCAAAACTTGCCTGGAGTGTGGCGCGACAATGAGCAAGACCTCATACTATCGTCACTGTGGAAGAGGGGCACACCTTAATCGCATCATATCGGATCCAAAGAACGTAAGCGAAAGCTTGCCGCAAGGTGCTCGCGAATTGCTTGCCCCGACAATGGCAGGGAGGGAAGGCGGAACAGAAGACCTCAGTGTGAATGTGAATAAAGAAAAGTCTTTCTGCACAGACGAGTGGGGAAAACCGGCGGTTAAGATAGAAACACACGGACCCCCAGCGAACACAGATGCTGTAGGGGCAGCAGCCGACAGTGCTGTCACTCCTATTCTGGACACAGAGGCACGAGTCCTTGGGAACGTTCCTGGCCCCCAGGTTCTTGGTCCGGACATGTGCTTCACTGAAGCAAGTGTCCAGATAGAGGGGGCCGGCGCAGCCAGAGAAGCAGGAAATGCGTGCAGAGGCAGGGATGGAGAAGGGGGGGAATGTGGGAATGGGGATTCCGCAGCAGATGCGAATCTGTTTTTGTCAATGGGAGGCTCCGCTGTAGCAGCAAGCGATTTGTCCATGGGAGCAGCTGTCGCAGCACCAACTGAGACAACAGCCATGCAGTACGAAGGAAGGCAGACAGAGGCTGACGGTGTGATGTACATGCAGGTCCAAACTGAGTGGGATGGTAGGGGGGAAGCAAAGAGGGAGTTCCCACTACTCTACGGGGGTTGTGATGGTGGAGAGATTGGCGCATCTCACGGAGAACAAGAGATGAACAAGGGGTGCTGGGAAGCAGCCCGAGGTGCAGAGAGGCACATGAGCGAATCGAACATGGCAGTTCATCACCAAATGCGGTCCGAGATAGGAGCCGGTCCCAATCTTGGAGCCATGGAGAACGGATCACTTCACTTCAATCAGAATGAAAGGGGATTGGCATTACCGGATATGGCCATCCCCTTTGATCAGGGGCATGGTCAAGAGGGGATGATGCATTGCACTTCACGGCTCCATCAGGGACGACTGGACACTGAAGCTCATGCCACAAAGGAATGCGAAGAAGAGAGGACACTGGCTCCTGCCAGCGAATCACAGGGAGCGTGCATGAACAACATGATGCTGGTGCCGTACGAAGGGGCCACGGGAGAAGATAAAGGGGGTGGTGTTTCCAACGGAATGGAGTCAAATGGCCAGCCGAGGAACACGGAAGGCAATGCGATGGCTTCGGAGGAAGGCGGCCAAGGGGTGCCGCCTCAGAGTAACAAGAAGGCACGCAGGATCACGTGCAAAGAGTGTGGAGCCATCTTCAGCAAGACTACATATTACAGGTACTGTGGGAAGGGTATACATCAGAAGGACCTCTTGTTGGGGGCTAGCAAACCTGCGTCTGAGCAGCAGAAGCTCAGCACGCCAGGCCGAGAGATAGATTGTACAGCGGATACAGTAGCTCTGGAAAGAACATTTCCCCCTGAGGGTGGCCCCCCTGAGGGAGCACCAGGAGAGCAGGTGGATGTTCCCAAGACATCGCCTAGTCATAGCCAGCCCGAAGGCGCAGCTTCGGTGTTGAGTGACAGTCTAAGGGATCTAGCCATGGACTGGGCAGTGAGCCTCCCAATTGCGTCAAAAGGGATTGACGCCGGCCAAGAACTGCCTTTCCAAGAAGGTCCAACTCCTCCTCAGAAAAAGAAGTACAAACGAGTCACCTGCAAAGACTGCGGTGCTGTTATGAGCAAGACCTCATACTACCGGCACTGCAGGAAAGGGAACCACCTTAACACACCATCCAGTGCTGTTGAGGGGCCCCCTACCAAGCAGCAAAAGCTGTCAGAAGAGGAAGACACTGTTCTGGCAGGAAGCAGCTCAGTGGCTGTAGCAGCAACGGCAGCTGCAGTAGCAGTGACGGCAGCTGCAGTAGCAGCAACAGCAGCAACCGTTAAGCCTGCTGAGTTTTCCCCGTGGGGAACAGCTGAAATAAAAGCAGACACATCAGGCACAACCCACACCATGGTAGACAAGGCGGAAGCTAATGTTGCTGGAGATTCTGGTCCATCATCAGCAGTCCCCTCCGGAAAGGCTGATGTTGCTGTGGCAATGGCGGCGAGCACAGTAGCGGCTGTCTCTGAGCCCATGATCACTGAGACGGCAGCAGATGCCAACATGGCACTGAGCATCCTTCCCATGCCCACTAGTCCTGCAGGTGCTGTGGGGAGTGCTCCCCCTACTTACGGGGCAGCAGCAAATGAAGGACAACTCATAGTCATCGAAGATAAACAAGATGGAAAGTGTGAAGCCCAGGAGGAACAGCGCTATGGGGCCAGCGCGGCGACACCTACGGTTCCGCCCGCTCCCAAAAAGCTCTCGAAGAGAGTCACTTGCAAAGTGTGTGGCGCTACTTTTGCAAAAACGTCATATTACAGACATTGTGGGAAGGGTTTGCACAAGAACCCAGAGTTGGTTACGGGATTGCCGGTGGCTGGAGAAACTGGCAAACAACCTGGAGATACCAAAAGTGTGAATGCGGAAGAGCGATCGCCAGACAAAGAGACGGCAGCGCTTCAGCTAGGGCAAGCAGAAAGGCCTGCAGAGCAAGGAGAAGCAAGTTTGCAACCGCAAGCAGAAAGGTCTGGAGAACCAGGGGGAGGAGCCGTTTCGCAAGCAGAAAGGTCTGCAGAACCACAAGGGGTAGTTTTGAGAGGAGAAGGTTCTGCAGAGGCGGGAGCAATTTCAGAAGCAGAAAGGACTGCGGAGCCAGGAGCAGCTTTGCAAGAAGAAAAGTCTGCGGATCCAGGAGCAATTTCACGTGAAGAAACCGTGGCAGGGCGGGAGGATTACAGGACTCAGGGACGAGCAACACCGCAGGCAGCTATTGTGCCCGTTGTTGATTCAGGGACGGCGGGGGGTGTACAGGAGCTGGCTATGGGTTCCGAACCCTCAAAGGCAACCAATAAGGTTAATGTCAACAACAATGCGGCCAACAAGGGTTCCGCAAGGAAGATTGCTTGTAAGGATTGTGGGGCAGTTCTGAGCAAGACCACGTACTATCGCCGCTGTGGAAAGGGGCTTCATCACCAGTTCGGGAAAAACCAGATAGGAACATTGGATGTGAACCAGGATCAGCACGTTGTGACCGATCGGCTGATGACATCTGACGCTCAAACAGTGGCACTGCGGAGTGCTGATGCCAACGATGCAGGTCAGGAGGCTGCTGCCAGCGTCGTTCCCTTGGGTGCAGAGCATCCTTCAGGCCCACCACCCTCGCTTGCAATCGTCCCAGTAGAGCAGCACGCTGTGAATCAGGTGCATGATCTCAATCGTAAAGACACAGCTGATCAGAAACCTGAGTCTGTGAAACGACACAAGAGGATAACGTGTAAGGAGTGCGGTGTCGTTCTCAGTAAGACATCCTTTTACCGATACTGCCGAAGAGGCAATCACTATGGGATGAAGAAGAAACCTTCGGAAGGCCCAGATAGCAAACAGCCCCAGGCATGCATATCTTTAACGGAGATGATGCATGAGGTTGGTGGTCCCATACCTCAGGTTGAAAACCAGCCAGTGATGGAGATGACTGATGATGTGGCGAGAGCAACAAGAAGCTATTTCTTGCCATTTGAAGGGCTAGGCAGTATGAATGACGTGTCTGCAGGTGACCAGCAACGTGCAGCCGATGGTGATATTTGCGCAGTGGGACTGAGTCTGGGGGCTTTTGCAGGTACAGGGTCAGAGGACAGGAGCGCTGCGGCCTCTGGACAAGAAGCCCATTCCTCTTTCAGGCAATGCTTCCAACAATGTCTGAGTCAAAAGGACACAACTACTTTCACGAACGACGACCATGTGGGCCCAGAAACGCGCAACTTTTCAACACTTGCAGGGGAGAGAGCGTTGATACTCCCTCAACAATCTGCTGATCGTATGTCCGAGCATGGCACACATCCAACCTTCGGCCAACAAATCGAGCTGGCCTTCGGGATGCAATTGCAGCAAATGGAGCCATTGATGCTTCGACAAGGAGCAGCAGAGCCACGTTCACCCAGCGCGCTGCCCGGAGGATCGAATCCAGCATACAGTCAATTGGCAACAGCAGCAGCTGGGTCAGCCATACAGGCATCAGCTCCATGCAACTCAGGCAGTATGCAAGCGGCAGCGATGCACACAACAGGCACACCAACAGATCCAGTTAACGTGCAGGTAGGAGGAGAAGCCGGTTCGGTGAGCATGAGGGCAGCCACAGCAGTAGACGGGACCAGGGTGTCAGCAGCAGATCTAGTGAGAATGCAGACAGGACCAGATTTGACCAATATGCAAGCAGCAAGGGCAGCAACAGATAGAGGCAACCAGCAGGCACCGGCAGCAGAGGCAAGTGCACCAGGTGTGCACACGGGAGCGACGGCGTCACTGAGACCCAATGTGGGTGAAACTGCAAGCCGACAGATTGTGGCAGCAGCAGAAACAGGCAGCAAACATGCACCAACAGAACCCACCAGGGCAGCTAGGATATGTTTGGCAGGAGCAGCAGAATCCAGCACACATAGAATAGGCGAAGCTCACCTGCGGCGATCCATGGTCCCACCGGGTGTGTCCTGTGTAGTGAAAAGAGAAGCATTAGCAGCCGATGATGAAATAAGCATACATGTTGCAGCTAGAGGAGGATCACTGACAGAAATCGGGCGCGGGATGTCTGCGTGCTCCACCCATGATCAGCACATTATGCAATCGAAGTCAAATACCTATGTGAATCCAGGTCGAGATTCCCAGCAGCAATCTCTCCCACGTCTGCAGTCTCAGTGTGAGCCACAGCCAAACCTTCTATCCACCCATGATCGTCCGACAGCTCAGGCGCGTGGACCTGGTGCAGCCACAGCAGACGACAGCCACCGTCGATCTTATCCCCCTGAGCGGATCATCAGTGGAGTTGTGCCAATGGGCGCCCTGTCTGCAGGGATGCTGGAGTGAGGACAAGTGCAGTAATTAGTACTCAGGTGATGGTTCTTGTTCGCAGTTTGTCTCCCATTAGTTTCTGCCTGTTGGCTTCTGCTGTAATGCTTTGCATGGTTGCAGGTTTGTGTGACATACATAACACTTAGTGTTTGTCAGAGGAATGTATAGGGTGGGACCCATGGACAACAAAACAACCATAGAGAGTGTCATTTCAGTCCCCCGACGGTTGTCGATAATGGGCTGCACTCTCTGTGACCTGAGTGGATGGAGCTGGAACGCATCGACCATTCGTTGCTTCCGCAAGCAGACTGACGACTTGTTGCGTCTCTGAGCACGCAGATGACCATACTATGTTATGGGAGGTGTCTGCTGCGTCATATTGCAAGGACATTATGCCAACGCCTGAAGCGGTGATGGTGTGGGTCCTCTTCAAGATCTTCTCCGTGGCCATGGCACTGCAAACTGTTAGCTCCCACGGGTGCATTACACGCTGGCATTACATGCTGGCAAGGGGTTCGATCTTGCAAGATGAGAGGGGGGCAAGAGCTTTCCCTCGCAACCAGCCGAATGACATGCTTTGGTCCAAGTGTTTAGTATATTCACCCACTTGGGGTGGCATAGTGGGAGGGAAAGAGGTTTGGAGCGGCGCAGGGAGATCAGGAAGGCAGAGAGTTAATGAGACATTTTCTGTAATTGGACCGGGAGCTCGAGTAAGTTCCAAGTGTCCCGTGAATGTGGCTAGGTCGTAAAGCCATAGATGTCACTTAGGAATCAGGCTCGTCGGGATAGATGGTCTGTTCTTGTTCTCCGTTGGGTGGTGGTGTTGTCCTGTGTGATTCCATGCAACTGGTGGGAGAGTCTTCCGGACCAGTGATGGGTTCCTTGGAACCGGTGGTGTTCCTTGCCGATCGCGTTTCACGGAACAGATGGTGGTCCTAGGAAGGTGATGGTGTTCCATTCTTGGAACATGGATGGTGTCCCTTGGAACAAAAGGTGTTCCCCATTGGAACAGATGGTGTTCCTTGGGTCATGGATGTTCCCTGGAACAGGTGTTCCTTGGAACTGTTGGTGTTCCTGGAATAGGTGCTGTTCGTTGGTCCTAATTGTATCCATGGGAGATATGACAATCCCTGGAACTGCTAGTGGTGTCCCTTGGAACGAATGGTGTTCCTTGGATGTTCCCGGGAACAGGTGTTCCTTGGAACTGTTGGTGTTCCTGGAATAGGTGCTGTTCTGTCGTGCTGGTGGTATCCATGGGAGATATGACAATCCCTGGATCTGCTAGTGTTCTCTGGCTTCCGTTCATGGTGCGTCCATGATGGCCTCCTCACACAGCAGTAGAGAACTCCTTAAGTTGGTACCGTAGCAGATAGGTAGGTTTTTGAGGAAAGTGAGTGAATTATGTGAGATATCGGTGGCGTCAGTGGAGTCATTGAGAGGAGCACTCAGCAGACAGTTGCATACTCACATGCACTTGGATTCCTCCAGTTTGCTCCCCTCAATGCCCTGGTGGCATGTGGACCATATCTTCTGCCCAACGTTCTTTGCCAGCACCAGTGAATTGGTCCTGGTCCGCCTTTCCAAGCCCCATCAGGCAATCTCTGTTTGCCAGGTTTCATTTCCAGTTTTTAAGTTCATTTAACATTATGTATGGCTTTTGAACTCTCTGCATATTTCCCTCATGAGTTTAGACGGGTTTGCGGAGAATATGGATGGATGGATGGATGGATCGATAGATGGATAGATGGATGTATCAGCTGGCAGATGAATGCATGGATGAATGGATGGACGGGCGGGCAAATAGTCAGTACCCCCGCGTGGCCATGATTAATACGTAGGATGTTCGGCGAATCGGCAAAGATGGATGGATGGATGGATGGATGGATGGATGGATGGATCAGCTGGCAGATGAATGCATGGATGAATGGATGGACTGGCAGACAAATTGTCAGTAGCCCCTCGTGGGCATGATTGATACATAGGATGTTCAGCGAAGATGGATGGATGGATGGATAAATGGATGGATAAATGGATGGATAGATGGATAGATGGATAGATGGATAGATGGATGGATCGGCTGGCAGATCATCCGCGGATGAATGCATGGATGGACGGGTGGACAAATCATCAGTAGCCCCTGGTGGGCATCATTGATATGTCTAGGATGTTGTCTGTCGGTTCTGGGTGTCCCTCCATGCTGTGTGAATGCTAAAGCCTCAAGGGAGCTCTCATGATGAACAGATGGTTGTTTGTGGATCTTTGTGCCCATGCCCGGTGACAGCGGCACTCAAGAATAGCACCATGCTATAGAGCTTTCAAAGGTGTGCCAAGTTTACCAGCACATTCTTTCCCTCAGCTGGGACTCTACCTTTAGTCAACTAGCTCACCTATTTATGAAGACAATCTGACCCCTATTTTCCCAGAAAGGCGCATAACCTGGGTTGGATCCCATTAGAGTGTAGGCAAACACATCCTCCAACCCTCAAACCCACATGCAAACTTTGTCTTTGACCATTTCATTCATGAAGAAAACTCTTGCGTGACAATGTGTGTTTGAAGACGAGCATGAAACAATATGTGTGCGCTCGACACCATCACCAGCTCACGCTGCAGGCATCATCTCGGATCAATTTCTGATGTCTTAGAGTGCAGTCCATCTGTTTGCAACAACCATTGGCCAGAGCACATGGTTGTGTTTGGTAATTGGCACAGGGAGGACTTGAATTAGCTTCTTCTTCTTCTTCTTCTTCTTCTTCTTCTTCTTCTTCTTCTTCTTCTTCTTCGTCCTTGTCCTCGCTCGTCCTCTTCCTCTTCCTCTTCCTTCCTCTTCTACTTCGTCCTCTTCTTCATCTTCCTTCCTCTTCTTGTCCTCTTCTTCTTCTTCTTCTTCTTCTTCTTCTTCTTCTTCCCCTCCTCCTCCTCCTCCTCCTTCGCCTTTGTCATCATCGTCGTCTTCTTCTTCGTTGTCATCTTCGTCTTCATCTTCTTTGAATACAAACAGGGCCTTATGGTCCTGGCTCCATTACCATTCTGAGGAGCATCAGTCCGGTTCCTTTCCCCCCGGCAAGTCATGGAAATACATCAATCATTCACACACTCGTGCTTCCTTCTGTCTGACCGAAGGACCCCGGAGCAGCATTGATTACTCCTTTGGCCCAGAGGATTGACTGCCAGCTTGCCTTTCTTCTAGGAATCCTCTCGGCTACGGTTATCCGAAGCTGTCAGCTACAGCTATTATAAAACAAGAAACAAGATTCCTAAGTAGACGGGCCACCGAACTTCTTCTTCCTCTCCTTGTACCCCTCCTCCTCTTCTCCCCCCCCCTCCTCCTTTGGCGGCCAGCAGTGGCTCTCAGCTGCTGCTTCTTGAGGCCTTTAAGTGGAACCCCCATCGTGGCGATGACCAGGAGCGCAACTGGTCCAGACGTGCAGGTGAATGTGCACGCTTACTGAGAGCAGTTGCATGCGAACCATCATGGTTGAACCATGCATCATGGTTGAACCATGGACATGAGGCAGCCTGGCCACTGTTTATCACTATTCTTCTTCTTCTTTCCTCTTCTTTCTATTTTTATACTCCATGGCAGAGTAGCCTGAAAATGGCTATCAATTTTTGCTAGTTGGGCAGAGGTTGATATACGGCGCCCTGGGGCCACCTCTAACTGGGACTGAATGAACAGTTAAAGGCATAGGCAACCAGCTAAGGTAAGCAGGGTGATGGTTGTTTGAACCTCCAGCACCTCCTATGGTGGTCAACCCCACAGGCAATCTTTTCAGAGCTTTCTCGGGTGGGCTTTCATCATCACCTTTGCCAAGCCTGTGTCACCAGAGCTCACCAAACCAGCGTGATCTCCCACAGTTTTACCTACATCGTCAGTCTCGTACTTTCTCCATTAGTGGATGCACATTCTCTCTCTCTCTCTCTCTCTCTCTCTCTCTCTCTCTCTCTCTCTCTCTCTCTCTCTCTCTCTGTGTGTGTGTGTGTGTGTATTCTGGACACGGCACGGCACGGCACAAACTACCATGCCAGGCTAGCTCCGACATTCCGTCGGCAATCCGAGACTAGCAGGGACAGCACATTCGACGGAAACTCCTACTAGGTTCGACTAGGGGCAAGACCGACTTGTGAGATTTCTAAGCCGGGTGTGCATGGTCCTATGGAAGAAAAAGGAATGGCGAAGAGGAAAGGGTTGTGTGTGTGTGTGTGTGTGTGTGTGTGTGTGTGTGTGTGCCTGTGTGTGCGTGTGTGTGTGCAAAGAGCAAAGACATAAGGCAAGGAAGGCATTGAATGACCAGCAGCAGCAAGTGACATTGGCTGGAGGGCCGGGGGGAGGCAGATGGGCAGACAGGTAGCATGTAGCAAGACAAACAGCTCGAGGCAGCAAAGTGCATAAGCTGGGGGGCATGGGGGAGGTGGGTGGGCAGGCAAACAGCACAATGCGACAAAGCGAATCTGGTGAAAGGTATAGGGTAGGCGGATTGGCAGGCCGACAGCATAAGGCAGCGAGGGAAACGACAACAAAACAGCAACCGAAAAATACGCGTCCAAGAAATGCAAAGACCGAAAAAAATAAAACTGATGATGAAAGATTGTTTCATCGGAGTTGCACCGATTCATCAGGAGGCTGAACCCTCGACAATCTGCAGGATCTCCGTATTTGATGGTTTGGGTCATGAGCCCTCTGACCCATGGTGAAGGCAGACTGTCCCCAAGCGGAACATAGCGGCGGGCAACAACCATGTGGAGCACCGGGCAACACAGTAGCGGCAAACCGGCTGCAAAATGCCAAAAACGATTGCAAGGAACGACATGGCACGCAGGACATGCAACACGGCAACCATGCAGTGAAGCACAAGACGACACAAGCAAGGCAACCACACTGCAAGGGGCGACAGGGCGAATAGACCAGCAGCTCGGCAACCATGAAGCGGAGCACAAGGCACCAGCAACAAGGCATACAAGGCACACAAGAGGCAAACACGGAAGGCACAGCCAGCGGATGGGCAGCAAGGCAGCGGAGCAGCGAAGCGCAAGGCAACACCGACAACACGGCCACACCAAATGGCTTGGAGAGACCAACTTGCAATGCAAGTGGGACAGGCAGCAAGGCGGTGGTGGAGCGCAGACGAGGCAGTCTACACACATCCAACACGGAGCAAAGCAGCGCAGGACCTACTCACATCACGATTGAACCCCGCAGACTGTTGGTTTCCACCACCCACTGAGCCAGGGAGTCACTCCGACAAGCATCCGTCATCACCTACAGGCAACACAAACATCCCGAACCGTGCGGCCCCCCTAAGAGTGCAGTAGGCTCTCCGAACTAGGAACCACCGACTGTTTGGCACTAGTTAAGGGTGCTCAGTTTGGGTAAGCAAAAACACTTAGAAAAAGATCAGGGGGAGGACAGACAACAACAGGAAAACAGACAAACATAAAACTGATTGTGTGTGTGTGTGTGTGTGTGTGTGTGTGTGTGTGTGTGTGTGTGTGTGTGTGCTGTAAACTGTCACAATAACAAGCACTCTTCCACCCAGATCAGTAGATCCAAACAAACTGCTCGACCTTAGTTTCGTCTACATGTGAATGTCCATAACAAACCCTTTTCCACCCAGATGAGTGGATCCAGAATTGGAAGGAACTGTTTGACCTTGAAATCTTCTACAGCAAACATCATGAAGCACACAGAAAACGTGATATTGTCGTGCGGTCATACAAATCTGTCGTTGCTGTTATATTATGTTATGTTTATGGAGCTCTTTGTTTGTTGTCCGCACTTTCATATATCTCCGTTCTGCTCCCTTAACTGTGCCTCCCAAGCTTCCCACATCCCGATGTACCTTAAACCACCAGCACTTCCGAGGCACTTTTCTCCGACCTTGGAAAGAACCGCTGCGGCCTCCTTTTGACTGGCACCGCCAGCCATTTTGCTTCGGAGGCTGAGCCTCAAAAGTCATGCTGTGTATACGACCAGGGCCCTCAGCCGATGTATGGGCCAAGTTCTGGTGGTTTAACAGCCCACTTGCACCTGATGGAAAAGAGGTAAGAGTAAATGTGGAGGGATGGTCCTGTTCAGTATTCACTTTCAGTAAACTTTTACTTTATATGTTCTGTTCCCTTGAAGGTGCTCATTGGTATGGGACTAGGGGGGGGGGGGAAGAAAAGAAGAAGAAGAAGATGCTGATTGGTATGCAATGTGCATTGAACCTGGGCACCTGAGAAAAAAAGCGGAGTGTCAGTCACAGTTGGAGGGAGAAGTTCTGCCTGAGAGGAGGGAGGGAGGAGGGAGAAGAAGACGAGGTAGGTGGGGAGACAAAGGAGGGAGAGAGGATGGACAAACTTCATAGGGTTGTCAGTATTCACTGCCTAGACTACTATGGAATGGCAGTTTGCGGCACCATCAAGGATTAGAGGGTGGGTCATTGTCATGTGGAGTGGAGGAATAGTCAGGGCAGCTGTATGAAGCGGAGGTTGCACTCATAGTGGCTGCTAGTCCTGTGAATGCTGCACAGGTGGCTGCGGCTCATATCTGGTGCACATGCAATCCTGCAGCACCGTCACACATTCTGGATACCGGACTGGGTATGCATAGCAACAACATCATTCCGTACAGTTGCAAGCATGGTGGCAGAGCAGATCTCTGAAATTCACCCACGGCTGTGGAGATCATACTGATGCCACTTTGTGACCTGGTTCGCACTCTTGAAGCCCTGGTATGTGCACTTGTCGGGGTGATGGTAGTGAGATGGGGCACATATGCGTTGACGAGGTATCTGTAACAGCTGATCTAACGACAAGTGTGAGGATGTTGATGGGGATGAGGAGGATGAAGACGATAATGAAGGGGAGGAAGGGAGGGAGGAGGACAACGAGAAAGACGGGGAAGTAGGAGACAGAGAGGATGATGTTATGGAGGATGCTGCTGAAGGGGGTTTTGGGGGGCAGGAGGCGGCGCGGGGATGTGTAGTGGTGGAAACAGTGGGGACAGCAGGTACAAGAGT